GGCCTAGAGTTAGGAAGACCTGAGTTCAAATCCAGCCTCAGACACAGTAGCTGTGTGGCCCTGGGCAAGTCACTTAACCTCTGTTTACCTGTTTCCCCACCTGTAAAATAGAAATAATGGTTGTTGTCCTTCATTCTCAAAGAGGACCAAAGTGACATTGCTATTCTAGAATCAAGTTACAGTGTGTCCAACTGTGACTGATCAGACCAATACGAGCTCGGAATGTTCTACCACAGATCAGGCACAAATAGCCCATGTGAACATTTGGGATGGATTCTCTAAATTTGTGCATCTTGCATTTCTCTCAAGCTATTTCAATTCTGCTTTGCTCATAGACCACTGCATCTTCTCTGATGGGGGCATGCCATGCTGAGTGGTCCTTCGATAGTGTCTCCTATGTCACCTGATCAATTTCAAAGTTCTTAAGAAAGCCCTTGAGTAGGGCAGCTAGGTGGCTCAGTGGATAGAGCTCTGGCCTTGGAGTCAGGAGGACCTGAGTTCAAATCCGGCCTCAGACACTTGACAGTTACTAGCTATGTGACCCTGGCCAAGTCACTTAACCCCAATTGCCTCACCAAAAAAATCCAAAACTTCCAGATGAAAAATCCCAGAAGGAAGCTGGAAATGCAGTACTGTGGTTTAGGAGAGAGAGTAATCCTGAATCTATAGATTGGGATGTCATCTTCAATAGTAATTTTATCCTTCAAAAAAAAAATAAGGCTACCATAAATACAAGGATGTTTATTTGAGGTTTATAAAATCATTTGTATCATGGTATTTTTATATGAAGAAACAAATTCATAATTCCTAAATGCAAACACTAATGCCAGTCTACTTGGACCCACAGAGTTTGGCTGAAGCATATCAGATACATAATGATAATGAACCAGTAATGGGACCATTTCTTCAATATGGTGTCAAATCTGAAAACAAATGACTAAAGAGTCACAGAGGTCAGCTATGCAACTGCTGTTAACTCCGAAAATGCCAAAGAGCTCACACAGGTCATCACAACCACAGTTAACTAGAAGAAATAAAATACAAACAAAAGTGCTAACCGTATTCGTATGTAAAAAAGCTTTCTTATATTCCCTGGAGGAGGGAAACTAGACACATGTGCTGGGGAGGAGGACCTACTTTGGTGAGGAAAAATCTTAATACACACATCAATGGCTACAGAGTGAGCCCTGACAATGAGGGGTAACAGTAACAATGAGGCAAGTTTGATTCACAGCAGGGCTTCATGACCGGAACGTGGGTGCTACAGGTGTCTGTCCAAGCTCAGGGGCCAACTGGTGCCGCTGCAAAACAGTTCTGGGATTTTGCTGCAGCTGAGTTCATCCAGAGGGGTGAGTGCCAAGAATTGTTGTCATGCCAAGCTCAGGGCACAGCCTACTTGCTGGGGCTTAGCTCTGGAAAACAGGGTGTCTCATCCTCATCGTCATCATCATCAAGGGGTGATCTGGGCACGAAGATCCTGACAATGGCAAACCAGACAAATGTTTAATGTGCTAGGTAGTGTACCATGAATAGAAAGCCATCATTCTCTTGGGGCAGGTACATAAAAAGAGCATTAGCCCTACTACAGCCCAAAAACTCAGAGCTCAGCTGATCGATCAGCCCTCAGCCTCTCCAGCATCAGGGATTACAGGCATGCGCCAGCAGGATTTCATTCTTCACAGCTTCCCATCACTCCTGAGTTGACTTTACCTCTAGAATTTTAAGCTGCATGATCTTTTTTTATCCTTTACCTAGAAACTCTGAAACCTGCTTTCCTAAAATCTAGGGTGTATATCAACATCACGGTCCTCATCATTTTGATTTGTGCAACAGCTCCTACTTGTTTGCCAGAATCAGGGGCAGCAGATCAGTTCTCCTCTTCTCTTCTCCCTTTGGAAGGATAAAATTACTATTGAAGATGACATTCCAATCTATAGATTCAGGATTAGTCTCTCTCCTAAACTACAGTACTGCATTTCCAGCTTCCTTCTGGGCTTTTTCATCTGGAAGTGCCATTGACATTTTGAACTAATCATGTCCAAAATGAAATTTATTAGCTTCCATCCTTTGACACACACACACACACACACACACACTGCCTCTGTGACTCTGGGAAAATCACTTATCTTATCAAGGTTATAGGTAATTCAATAAGACCATAAATGAAATAGCAGATATATGTTTGCTTTGGTAGGAAGGCATTTCCTTACCAGGAATTACTTATATTGATAAAATCATCCCTCCAATAAAAAAAAATTCCAAATGTACCACCCTAAACCTGCCCCCTCTTCAAAATTCTGTATTTCTCTTAACTTCATAGTGTCTAGTGTTAATTCCTCTCCTAAATTCAGTATAGAATCTCTAGTTTCCTGCTTGACTTCTCTACCCAGATATCTGTCAGTCAATTAGCAATTACTTAAGAGTTTACTATGGCCAGGCACTGTAACCTATCTGCAATTAATATACTAGACTTGAAAGCCAAAAGAAAAAAAAAATCAGTGTCCTGTCCTCAATTAGCTGACACTCTATTGGTGTCTGAAATGTGGAGATCCTGAAAAAATGTGTAAGTATTGTTGTCCCCTCCTAAAAGCTAAATATTATTGTAATTGCCAGCTACAACCCGATTAACCAAGTGAAAATGTCACTCAGGAAATTCTTCCTTCCTTGGTATGAATCAGTAACTAGAAAAGGTAAAAAACTACACAGTTCAGTTTTTAAGTGCATCAATTTTATCCGCAGTGATTTCAGCCACCTTAAGAATTTGGAAGGGGGGCCAGTCAAAGGATATGAATAGGTAGTTTTCAGACAAAGAAATTAAAACTATCTATAGTCATACCAAAAAAATGCTCTGAATCACTATTGGTTAGAGAAATGTATATCAAAACAACTCTGAGGCACCACCTCACACCTATGAGAGTGGCTAATATGACTAAAAAGGAAAATGCTGGATGTTGGAGGGATTGTGAGAAAACCAGGACACTAATGCACTATTGGTAGAGTTGTGAACTGACCCAACTATTCTGTTTGCATTATTATTTTTTTTGGTTTGTTTTTTAGGCAGTTGGGGTTAAGTGACTTGCCTGGCCAGTAAGTGTCAAGTGTTTAGTCTGAGACCAGATTTGAACTCAGGTCCTCCTGAATCCAGGGCCAGTGGTCTATCCACTGCACCACCTAGCTGCCTGTGACCCAACTACTCTGGAGAGCAATTTGGAACTATGCCCAAAGGGTAACCAAACTGTGCATACCCTTTGATCCAGCAATACTACTACTATAACCCAAAGAAATCATAAAAGAAGGGAAAAGGACCGACATGTGCAAAAATATTTATAGCAGCTTTTTTCATGGTGGCAAAATATTGGAAATTGAGACGTCCATCAATTGTGGAATGGCTGAACAAGCTGTGGTATGTGATTGTATTGGAATGTTACTATGCTATTAAAAATGACAAGCAGGATGATTTCAGAAAAACCTGGAAAAACTTACATGAACTAATGCATAGCAAAATGAATAGAACTAGGAGAACATTGTACACAGTAACAGCAATACTGTATGACAATCAACTATGATAGACTTAGCTCTTCTCAGCCATGCAGTGATCCAAGACAATCCCAAAGGACTAATGATGAAGCATACTATCCACCTCCAGAGAAAGAACTGATATTGATTGAATACAGATTGAAGCACGCTATTTTTCACTTTCTTTCATTTTTTTCTTTTGAGTCTTTTTGTACAAAATGACTTATATGGAAATGTTTTACATAATTACATATGTATAACCTATATCTGATTGCTTATTTTCTCAGCAACGGTGGAGGGGAGAAAAGGAGGGAGGGATAGAATTTGGAACTCAAAATTTTAAATAAAAATGTTAAAAATTTTTTTAAAAAAGATATATGAAAGGTAAATTATAGAGAGATGTTAGAGACGTCACATTAAATACTATTCACAAGGACATACCTGGAGAAATAATTTTCAGTGGGACTGAGTTCTGGCCTCAACACTTACTAGCTGTCTGACCCTGGGCAAGTCACTGAACCTTGTTTGCCTCAGTTTCCTCATCTATAAAATGAGTTGGAGAAAAAGATACTCCAGTATTTTAATTGCCAAGAAAGCCCCAAATGGGGTCACAATCAGTTGGACACAACTGAAAATGACTGCCTAGCAACAAAGAGTTTGGAAAGAGCAGTACACGTGAACTTAAGTTGAATACGCAATATCTGCTTATATCCCTAGTGGGATAGAACAGTTGCCAAATCACTCAGCTCTAAACAGCTGCTTAGCCAATTTTAGGCAATATTTCCCCATATCTGCTTTTCTGGCACTAATAAAATATTTGTCCACTTAAGTGTCTATGGGTGTTGCTGTCCAGAGCTGAAAAGGGTGTGGGATTGAAAAGGTGGGGTACGGGAAGGACTCCAGAGCTAAGAGCTGTACAGAGGTAATAATATTACACTAAGTGAACTCCCAGCTGTTTGAATAACTGTACCCAGTGTCAACCCTCCAGGAAGTCTCAAATGACTTGGAGGAAGAGAGAAGGCACATTTATTAACCTGCAAAAGGTAAAAAATGGAGGGAAATAGTTAAATAACACTTTAAGCTTTGCAAAGCTCTTTACAAATATTACTTCATTTGATCCTCACAACCCTGTGAGGTAGGTGCTATTATCATCCCCATTTTACAAATGAGGAAACTGAGGCAGAAGTTAAGTGACTTGTTTAGGGTACCCGCTAGAAAGTGTGTGAAGCTGGATTTGAACTCGTTTCTGTAAAATAAGGGGGATATGGTGGACAACCATTAAAAGTTTCTTGCAGGGTCCACATTCTCCGGCCCTCCCTCTGGACGTAGACAGAGCAGCTGCAAGGTAGGCCCAGGAAAGGGGAGGGAAGGAAAGTTGATGGAACCTCAAGCGCATCAGGTCAAAGCCTCGCGCAGTCCCTTGCGCATGCGCAGTTGCCAGAGCGGCCCCTGCAGCACGCGGAACGAAAAGCGACCGAGGTGCGCCGAGAACGGGGACGAGTGCGCGCTGCGCCGCGACCGGAAGTGGCCGGGCCGGGCCGGCACTGGTGCCCAGGAGACCAGAGCATGAGGGTACCGGCGGGCGCGCTATGGAGCGCGGCCGGGGCCGCCTGGCGGCGCGGCTTCTCCTTCGCGGGCCAGGACGTGGCGCGCTGGTTCCCGGGACACATGGCCAAAGGTGAGAGTCGGGGAGGAGGCCCCGCGAGAGGTCGCCCCGCAGTCCTCCGCTCCCGAAGGCGCTCTGGCCTCTGACCCCTGCGGGGGAGCGGCTCCCTCCATCTGGGCATGCGCGCAAGGAACGCCCGGCCGGCCTGTACGTTCAGTGCCACTCGTATTTATTAAACGCCTACTGTGTACGCGAGACGCTTTGCTAGGCCCTGGGACGCAAAGAACCAAAACGACCCCCGCCCCCCATGATCCCCGTAATGCTGCCGCCTTTCCTCTGAGTCTCCTCCCAATTGATCTTGGCTCTAGCTTGTACGCCGTGTCCCCCTTTAGACTGTGAGCGCCTTGAGGGCTGGGACTGCCTTCTGCTTAGCGCTCAGCACAGTGCCCGGCGCGTAGTAGGTGCTTCATAAAGGCTAGGTGTTGACCTGTGGAGCAGGCTTCCTTCCAGTAAATGCTTGTGGTTGACCTCTACTGCCGGGGGTGAAATCCCTCCCTTGTGATTTTGGGCAAGTCACTTAACCTCTCTGGGCCTCAGTTTCGAGGCCTGCAAAATGAAGGGGTTGTTGGGTGATCCTTGAGGTCCCGTCTAGCCTTAAGTCTGTTAGTGACTTAACTGAGGCACCACCTCCTTCCCGAAGCTTCCTTCCCTCTTCTTAGCTGGAAATGAGCTTGCCCCTTTAGATTCCTCAGCATTTTGGACCTCTCCTTTGCACTTATCACATTCGATTCAGCAAACGTTTATTAAGTGACTGTCTATAAGACAGGTAGGTATGAGGGACTCGGCACTCAGATTAAGACCTAAGAAGAAGACATCTCCACAAATAACTGATACGAGGCAGAATGACAAAGGAGAGAGCCAGATAAAGTGCTGTGAAAAGTCTGGGGAAGGAGAGATCGCTTTCCCTCTTCAGCGACCTGCGAAAGCTTCATGAAAGAGTCTGCACCTGAATTGGGCTTTTGAAGAAAGGGAAAAACAAGTAGATAGAGATGGTGGAATGGAAAGGGGAGAATGAATCTAGGCATGCAAAATGGTATGAACAAAGGTAAAAAGGAGAGGACAGGAAAATAATGAGTTCGTTTTTTGAATATTCTGCTATGTAAATATTTTCAGACATGTCTTTCTCCATGCTTTTGAGCTCTTTGAGGGTAAGAACTGTCCTATTTCTCCTTTGTCAGACATTGTCTCCATAGTGCCAGGTAAGCATAGTATTCTTTTACACTCATATAGTAGGTTTAATAAATGTTGAATTGAATCACTTACTTTTTGAGACTGTTGTAAGGAAAGTCGTGTGTAAATTCTAATCATGCTTCAAGCATGACTTCTTTTTTTAAGGTTTAGTGTTTTTTTCCAGTTAAAAATATTTTCTCATTCTCTTACCTCCTCATTGGGAATTGAAGAAAAGAAAGTAAAGCAAAACTCCTGTAACAAATATGCATAGTCAAACAAAACATTCTTTCATTGGCCATATAAAAAAAAATGATGTAAATCTAATTCTATACCCTAAATCCATCATCTCTTTTTCAGGTGGATAGGATGTCAAGCATGATTTCTTAATGAAATTTGGGAGATTAATGGGAATGTTACATGAATTTCAGCCTCTTTAGTAATAAAAGTGTGTTATAATCATTTTGTTTTTTAAGAAATGTTATTGAAAATTTTATTGATATCACCTTATTTCCTGGCCAGTGTTTTTAACATTGCCCCTGACCTTCCAATGAATTTTTGTTTTTCTTAATAGCCCAAACCAGTGGAGTCATTAAATCTTTTAATGATTTTAGAAGTATTTCTGGTCCAACCCCCAACAGAAAGCTTGAATGCTTCTATTAGGTACTGAATTATTTTCTTGGCAGTTTTTCTGGATAAGCGACTATCTGGCTTTTACTTGAAGACTTCCTTACTTTTGAAGGCAGGCCATTACACTTTTACGTAGTTTTAATTGTTAGGAAGTCTTTTTTTAGATTGAGTGGAAATCTACTAAAACAGAAAGGGAATTGATAAATAAATGTATGGAAATTCATGTATATTTGTATTCTGTCGGGGTGAATAATAATATATTTGGCATTGCTATATTGTTAGAGTTCATGTTAAATACAAATTCTTACCTTGTCTTCTCTAGCTACCCCTAAAGCACTCAGTAATTACTAACTCACATTTTTATAAATTTTAGGATTTGCAGAGTACTGTCCTATGAGGTACTACAGACTACCATAGGTACTGTACTGTACTATGTAAGTACTGTAAGGATTGTCTTCATTTAGCAGATAAAGAAACTAAGGTGTTGTTGGTGTTTGTAGTTACACAGTTGTAAGCTTCTGAATGAAGCAGGATTGAACCCAGATCTCCTGATTCCAGGTGCAGAACTATTTCTACCGTGTCTTAGCACCTTCTCTGTTTTACAGGTCTCAAAAAGATGCAGAGAAGCCTGAAGCTGGTAGATTGTATCATTGAAGTGCACGATGCTCGGATATCCTTCTGTAGTACTGATTGTCTCTCCAAAGGAATTGGCTCATAGTAGGGCAGGAAAAACATTTGGATTTGTCTCCCAGTGTTTACAGTTGACCCTTTCTCCTCTCTCCCAAAGTTTCTTCTGATCTCAGCATTCTTAGTCTAGTGAGCTTCCTAGAGCCATCTTTGGTCAGAACTGTCCCTAGTGAGTTCTGTTAAGAAGAAGGCAGTAAAGACAGTGTCATCCATCATGCATTTCCCTTAACAGGAGTCCAGTGTGTTCTGGGTGGAGGTGACTAATTTTGACATTTGTAAGAGCTTGATTGGCACCACCCACAGAACAGGGAGATTAGTAAGGAAACGAAATTAAAATGAAAGTTCTCAGCCGGAAGAGCCCAAATGGAATTTGTCCCTTTGTGGGTTGACAGATTGTTTTGGACACCTTACTTACAGTTGTTTGTCATTTTGATTGTGACTAGAAAGCAAAGATAGTAATTCCATATGCTAATTAAAGTATTGAGGGTTTCTTTTTGAGCAGCTAACATTTATTTATGCTCATTCAGAAAGGCCTTTCTAGGAGAGGAAGAATCCTTTATAAATGATCTTTAACGTTAAACTAAGGATGAAAATATTAGGTAACAATGTGGTATGGCAGTCCACTAAAAACAGTATTGAAAGAACATTGGTTCTGTTGCAGGTTGGTAGGAATGTGCTAGTTTGAGTACTGGAATCAAACTGTGGGGTTTTGTCTTTCCTGTATCTTGCCTTCCTGAGAATTTCAGAAGAAGGAGCCCACTTATTGTATAATCAAATTAGAAAGGATTTATGTGTCTGGAAATATCTAAGTGTTTTCAAGAACTTTTCCCTTAATTTTGGAACATTCCATTATCTGGTCGCAATCCTTTGTTCCAGGAAGCTCTTGGAATTAAGCCTCACCTACTTGTACTTAACAAAATGGACTTGGCAGACCTTAAAGAGAAGCAGGTAGGTATGTATCTTGTTTATAGTCGTCTTCAGCACTGTCACTTACTGTTCTTTAAAGTTGTCCCTTGTCTGGTACATTGCTCTAAGCAAATGTAGAATGGATTTATGCAAATAATAGTTTGGAGAATGAATGTTTGATTTAACAAAAGGGTCCTTCAAGATGATCTTTATTGTTTCCTCAAATAAACTGCCATGGTGAATTTCAGTTTGGATTCCATTTACCAAGATCTGATTTGCATATAACTTCCCGGGAACTCGTTCTATTGCATTTGTGTTATCACAGGAGTAGCTCATTCTGTGATGGTCAGTAAGAAGCTGGTACATGTCCAGTTGAAGAGAGCCAGGATTTTGAGAGGAAGCAAAATCATGTCACATGAGGGACATCAAAATATCTGGGGGGTTGAAAGGAAGGGGAGGAGGAGTGAGATTAATCCTGGGAAGAGAAGCCTTTGGAAGGGCATGGTAAGGCTTGAGATTTGGGAAGAGCTGTTAGGAGGAACAGAAATTAGCTGCAGTTCATGTGTCTGGAGAAAGGAAGACTAGGAGCAGTGGGTAGAGGTTGTAAGGATGCAGGTTCCACAGACTATAACTTCCTTACAGTAGAGATGACTGAAAATGGAGTATGCTGGCCTGGGAGACAGTTTCCTATTACAGGAGATGTTTACATAAAGCCCAGATTTTTTGTGAATTTCATAGTTTGGAAAACATTTATTATTAAATACCTATTCTGTGCTAGGTGCCAGGAGAAATGTAAAGTAGAGATAAGATACAGTACCTGCTCTTTCGGAAATTATGGTCTAGTAGGGGATATCACACAAATAATAACTTTAATACAAAGTAATATCTATAAATATATGAGGTACGAAGGGAAAGGTATCATTTAAGTTGGATTCATAGTACGTAATTCAGCAAATTGAGGATGGGAAGAGATGTTGCAGGTATAGGAAACAGCTTTAACAAAAGCATGAATGAATGAATGAATGAAAAGCATTTATTAAGTGCTTATTACGTGCTAGGCCTCTTGCTAAGTGCTAAGGATACAAATATAAAAGATAGTCCCTAGAGGGATGGTAAGTAGAGCCATAGGACAGTAAGGTAACTGCCCTTTTCAAAAGCTGTGATATTATTCAAATCTGGCCTCAGACACACTTAACACTTACTAGCTGTGTGACTCTGGGTGCGTTATTTAACCCCGATTGCCTCACCAAAAAGCAAAAAAAAAAAAAAAGCTATGATATCATTTATTTGATTCCAGTACTCAGAGAAAGTATGGAGATGAGGGAGTATGATACCTGTATATTGGTCAAAAAATAGTCCAATTTGGCTTGAGTAGAAAGTATTTGGAAGTGGATAATGTGACCACAGCTTCGAAAGATTGGTTGGTATCAGATACTCTAAGGCCTTGAATGGCAGATTAAGCAATGTGAATTTTCATGTTAAGCAGTAGGGAACCTGGAGGGATTTTTATTGGAGATATGAAATGACTAGATCTCTTCATCGCTGTGACTTCCAAATAAAATCCATTCTGTATTCTTTCACCTTCAGTCATGTTGAATCCTTTAATGAATCGGAGAATTTTTAAGCTGAAAGGAAACTATTAACATCATCATTTTGCAGGTGGAATAGAAACAAGGCCTAGGGAGCTTGTGACTTTCCCAAGGATGAACAGTGGCAGAGGACTGCTGGCCAGGACCAGAATCCCCCTCCTTGGCACCATATAATCACTGCTGGAGTTAGAAGGGACCCCCATTTTTAAAATGAGGAGACTGAGGCCCAGGAGGTTAAGTGACTTATGAAAGGTGACTCATGTAGTGATCATCAGAGGCGGGACATGAACCCAGATCCTCTTCACTGCAGATGTTCTTCCCATGCTGGCCAGGGCCTGGCGCTTCTTCCCATTGCCCTCTGGCCTAGAAGCCTGGCTATCCTGGAACAGTTGTGCAGTGTTTCTTTGTTTTGAAATGTTTCACTGTGAATTTCTTTTCTGTTTAACAAAGAGTAAGATTTCTTTTGAAATCACACCTGGAATTTTGGAGTTAACTAACGGTACAAATGCGTTCAGTAGCAAGCATAGGTGTCAGTTTGCTCAGTCCATTGTGTAACCCCTAATCGTGTGACTTTCAGCCACAGCTGTTTCTAGGCTAACATTAAAGCGCACACCTATGCTGCTATTGTTCATTTTGGAAATTCAAAACCCAGCCTTTGGGTATTGATGGCATTTTGCATCATGTGACCGTCACCCCAACTGTGCATGCGTCTGGTAGTCTTAACTAAGAATCAGAGGTATCCCTGCTGTGCAGCACAGGCAGCTACGGTTCCCCTGAGAACAAGCAATTGTACGTAGTACTTCTGAGCACTCACATTTGCATCCTTAGTTGCGTATTAGTACCTTTTTTAAAAAATATTTTATTGATGCCCTTTGTTTTTGCATCACAGTTTCGGGGGAGGTTTTCCTTGCCCTGGCAGCTGGTGTGCAGTGGAGAGAGTACTGGCCTCAGAGTCAGGAAAACCTGAGGGTGAATCCTGCTGCCTCAGACATTTCCTGGCTGGGTGATCCTGGACAAGTCACTTTATCTCTCAGCCTCAGTTTTCTCCTCTGTAAAATGAGGATAATAATAGCACCTACTTCATAGGGTTGTTGTAGAGAATCATGTGACATAATATATTTAAAATGCTTTGTTGCTGTAGAAATGTTAGCTCTCTATACAAAGAAAAACAAGCAAAAACACCCAATTGAGTGAGTGACTGAAAATGTACACAATAATGTGCCCCGGGAGTCACCATCCCCTCTACCCTAAGTAGGGTAGAGAAGAAAACTCTGTTTTAGTATCTCTTTCCTGGCACCATCATCGTTTTTTTTCCAAGAAGACTTTTTCTTCCTCTTTTCAAATGCATTTTTATTTGAAGTTTTTGAGTATTATTGGTGCTTAAACTGACTCTGGCACAAGAAGCGTCTTTCTTCTAGTGAGGAGTATGGAATCCCAGAACACTGGGACTCTCTTGTGATGCAGGACGGCAGTGTCATCCCTACAAGGCACAAAAAAGAGAATGTGTCCACATTTCCCAGAGGGGGGCTTCAAAGGAATGATAGAGCTTCCTTGTTCTTCTCACTAGCTTAGCACAGCCAGAGCCCTGCTCCTGGGAAGGAGTGTAGGGACCAAGACTGTGGTTTTAAATCTGCCCACCCCACGCTTCTGGGTCCCATACTAAAGCAGGGAAACAGAAATGTTCAGGTCACAGGCCAGAATGACAGGAGGACAAGATGGTTTTTGTATATTAAAATAAGAGAATAGGACTAATAATTTTGAAATGTATATATGTTTACGTAGTAGAAGTCTCAATAGGAACCGAATTAAGCGGTTAATTACTAAAACAGTAAAAGATCTCTCTTCCTTACATTGTCCAGTTGAGTGTTACTCATGATAGAGGTCAGCAGTATCTGGCAACACATTTTTTGAACATCTTAAACTTAGCTTCTGAATATGGCTCATGTCAAAATTTACTAGCTGATGCTGACATTTGAAATGTTTTGGACTTCTATTGTAACCTGCCCATTACTTTGCAAATTAAGGTGGGTCAAAGTTTAAGGACAGTTTTGGTTCTCTCCTTCATTCTTGAAGAGGACCAAAATGATATCACTGTGTCGAGGTCAAGGTACAGTCTATCTTACTGTGGCTGATCAGAGCAGTATGAGCTCAGAAGGCTCTACCACAGATCAGGCAGAAATAGTCCATGTGAACATTTGGAGTAGGGATGTCTCTAAATTTGCCCATCTCATGTCTCTTTTGAGCTACTGCAATTCTACTTTGCTCATAGAGCACAGCACCTTCTTTGATGTGGGCATGTCATGCCAGTGTTTCTCATATTTCACAGTTGATCCCAAAGTTCTTCAGAGAGACCTCGAGAATGTCCTTGTATCACTTCTGTGTGGGAGGGCTTGCATTGTGTGAGAAGTTCTATCCAACTAGAGTTGAATGGAATCAACCAATTTTTGTACTGGGAGAAACCAATGTCATTTTACAAATAAGAAAGCAGAAAGTCAAAGAGATGAATTGACCTGTCTATGGTCATACTGAAAGTGGTGACAGAGCCTGCACTACATATAAGCCAAGTTCTTTAGTCTTTTCCATTAGATCACACTGTTGTTGGCACTTGTATTTATTATTTAATATGAAGTTATTTTGTCTTTTTTAGAAAATCGTGGGGCACCTGAACAAAGAAGGAGTGAAAAATGTAATTTTTACCAATTGTTTAAAGGATGAAAACATAAAACAGGTATTTTATTTTCTTCTGTTCAGAAACTTTCTATTTAATGTTCTTGTGAAGATAGATAGGAATGTAAAGTATTTTGAGTTTTAAAAAGACTTATTTATCTTAACAAGTTTTAAGTATTGATTTTCCCATTGCCTTTATTAGCAGTTATAAATCTCTTGGGCAAGTGCCTCCTGAGTCTCTTCCGTAGAATCAATCTCTGAGGCATGCTGTAGTGAATATTGAAAGAGCAAAACTTCAGGACTTATGGCTGTGAGGATTTCTAGACCCTTTCTGGAAAATAGCCCATTTTACTTTGACAGAGAGTGTTTCACACTTTGACTGTTTCTTCCTGTGTTAAATGATATTTTCAGTTACATCTCACTTCTCTAAATAAAGCCTAAATGAAATCACCTGGATAAGAGAGAAGTAGTACCCCATTTTATGAGGGGTAGGATTAGAGCACAGAGCAGTTAAGTTGTTCCTAAAGGTTGGAGATCAGAATGGGATTCAGGTCTCCTGGACCTGTACTTAAAAATTATTGCTTCTATAAATGAAAAAAGAAAGCAAGTTTCCTATTAAAACCATGTAGGAAAACAGATGGGATACAAGAGGTCATCATCGATTATTCCTTTAAGGAATGATGAGGGGGAAAAATACTGTTGTTCCAGCCTTAGGTGCCAGGAAATTACTAATCTTTGTGGTCAAAGATCAAGCCCATATAACTGATTGTTTTTTATTGATTTTTTTTGGTAGATTGTTCCAGTGGTTACTGAACTGATCGAGGGTGGCTACCGCTATCATCGAGGAGAGGTCAGCTGAAAGGGCAAAAAAGGGGAAGTAAGAGTGCTGAGGAGCTCTGTAATGAAGCTATCATATGTCAGATTTATAATACAAAGCAAGAACTATGGGCCACAAAGAAAATACATTTGCCAGGCATAAATGTATTCTTCTGTATTGTGGTAGTTTAATACCCTCCTCTTTACTCCTTCTAGTAAAAACAGAGTTGAAAAGCTCTCTGAAGTAGTTTTTTTTTATTGTATCATTAATGACCTTGTTTAAATTTTTGACGGATCCTGAGGTTAGCTTTCCTCTGGTATTTCTGTCAGCATGAGGGAATCTAGTGTGACCCTGGAGCCTGTCTTGCAGGGGTACTGGGCTTCCCTTTCTTACTCAGCTCTTTGTTGCAGAACCTGGAGTACTGCATCATGGTGATTGGTGTGCCCCAATGTGGGCAAGTCCTCACTCATCAACTCACTCAGGAGGCAGCACCTCAGAAAAGGTACTGGCTTCTTGGTAGAGTTTTATGCTTTTTTTTGACTTACCTTTGGAGAAACAGACTTGGGGGAGCAGAGAAGACTGCTAGGGAAAAAGTAAAAGGGAAGATTTGTTTTGTGTTTTTCTCCCAATTGATTTAAGAAAAAAATTACTGTAGACTAAAAACTCATATACAGATTTGTCCTAATGCTTTTTTCCCATTAAGAAGCTCTGTCTGAAAGCCTAATGTAGTAATGGATTTAATATTGACCAAGGAGTTAGGAGGGTTGCGTTCCATTCTATTGGAAAGTTTTTCTTAGCTTTATGTTTAATCTTGAGCAAAACATTTTCATTCCTATATTCCTTCCATTAGTAAAATGGGAATTGTTTTTTTTTGCAAGCTTTGATGATTCCTTTAATTGATTTATGTTTAAAGCAAACTGAACTGGATAATCCAAAGTACTGTGGACTCTACAGAACTTTCACATCCTAGGGACTTCCCTTAGAGTTGTTTCCTTGGCAGCCCATATGGTTCTCCAAGAAAGGTTTGTTTCTATCAGAGTCCATTTATGAACCACAGGAAAAAAAATATGGTGTCCTTTCTGGTCATCTTGATTTTTAACCCCAGTCTTGGTCCTAACTTGCTTGTTACGGCAGCCATTAATTGGTATGTGGCTGTTGCACATGAAAAATTTTAGGTCTTTGACACACTTGAAATGAAAATTCAGTTTATAGAACTTAAGTGAAGTTTTCAGCATTCTAGAAGAGCAGTACAGTTCCAGTTATGTGGTAGCCATTCAACAAATGAATCAAAATTTTTATGCTTTTGGTACAAATTTCAGAGGCAAGGAATCTGCTTTGATACTTCTGAGACCCAAGTCCCTAGCCCCTTTACCTTGAATTCCTGATTCAGTGAATGAGGGTGAAGGCTGGGGGAGGTTTCACTGCTCATTGGATAGTTTATATTTTAGACAGTCAGTCTGGCACTGTGCTCAGCTTTACCAGGCTCTTAATAAATGTTTGTGACATTGAATTTAATTTCCAGACTACGTGATAAGTTTGTTATGCATTTGACTTTCTGTCTTTCTCTGATAGGAAAAGCCTCTCGAGTAGGTGGTCTGCCTGGGGTCACAAAAGCAGTTATGTCCAAAATTCAGGTAGTGTATATTTGACTGTTGGCCCAGGAGAGCCAAATTATTCCTTTCTTGATCTCCCTAGAAGTAGAAGGAGGGGAGCTGTTTTTTGCTGCCTTGATTTTTAAAGAAATGAATTGGAAGTATCTTTATATTTTTCTCAGAATATAATGAAAATGATGAAGGTAAATAGTGAGTTCCTGTCATGTAGAACTCAAGACCATTCTTTTATGACCCTCTAATGCAGAAACCACATTCGTTGGTCTTTTTTCAACATAGTGCTTTACAATGCAATGCTGAATTCATTGGGACCTCATGGAAATCTGTCAGGCTGGAGATGTATTCTAGTCCTAGTCCAGTCATTGAGTCAGTCACTTAAATAATCTTTTGTCTCCATTCCTGCAGTTGTAAAACAAAGATTATAATGTGCTAGAACTTTTCCTGAATGTGATAGCTTCTGGAGCAGAATTCAGTATGAGTTGCACGCAAAGGGATTCAGAAGATGCCATGGTAACCCAGCAGGATTTATAATGCAAAGAGCTGTGGGACGGGAGCCTGTGCCTTCATCCTGGCATGAGCAGCTCACTTCCTTCTGAGTCTCAGATTCCTCGTTTGTAATTTGGGAGTAATGTTGGTGTTACCTTTCACACCTGGTGGTTGTGAAGAGTCAGTGCAATCAAGTGTAGGATGTGCTTCATAACTTTAGGCAGAGAACTCAAGGCCTGCTCCCATCTGCTTGGCTGAGTTCGAAGGTAAATAAAAGGGTGTATTGTTTAACAAAGCATTCAGTGTGATGTTCTTAGTGGTTGTAAGATGGAGATTGGTTAGGCAGTAGGCCTGTGATTTTTCTGGTATGGGGAACTCCCAGAAGAGGAAACGTTGGCATTTTCTCTGTAACTTACAATCTTTGTTATCAAGAGCATTGTGAGTGATTTGCCCACAGGATCCCACCTCTGGGATGTGTTCGGGGGGAAAGGGAGAGACTTGAACCCAGGTCCTCCTGACTGTAAGGCCAGCTCTGTAGTAATGACATCTTGCTTCCTGTCTAGTTTTAACAGTTAATTCCTTCCCAAATCTGTGCTTTCTTGAAAAAAAGAAAGGACTTGTGAGAGTGAGGGGTAACTGATGGACCAACTGTTTATTTCCTCCCCTACTCTTTTTGTGATATGAAGCAAAATTGAACGTGGTCTCCGTCAGGCTGGGTGGGATGAACTTACAGGACAGGAGTTAACCAGAGTTTTCGGGCAAAGACGGGCTGTGACCTGTGTCCTGGGAGAGAAGAGCTTGTGTCAGGGAGCTCTCGGATCCATTAGAGAATTTGAATGGCTCTGTTATTGTCAGTCAGGTGCCACCAAACCTTACTCTGATGCTTCTTTGTGACTTCGGTTGTTGGGTTCTTGAGAGATAGACCAGCAGAGTGTGAGCCTCCTAGTCTGGCAGGGTTTGGAGTACGAGCCCAGTGACAACATCTTTATCTGTCGGCTGAGGACCAGCCTAGCTAATTTCAGACAGGCTGGTCACTGGGCGAGCTGTAGGCAGATGAATTTTTCAGCTTCCTTGAATCTTCATCTAGGCGCAGCCTGCACAACTTGTGGCCCAAGGACCACTTGCAGCACGCCAAAGGATTTCCCCTGCACACAAAGGATGTTTGCCTCTACCTTTTTTGAGCGCCGCAGGAAATCCTTTGGTGTGCTGCAAGTGGCCTGAGGGCTGCAAGTTGCGAAGGCCTGCCTAATCTAGGTAATCCAAGCCATAGGGGCCAGTATTCTACCTAGTGGAGGGAAGGCCCATACCAGTAAAATCATAGATTCCTGAAGTCGGTATTAGTGCTATTTCCCCAGTATCTTTCTCCAGAAAGCTGAGACCAATTGCATACATTTTCTAAGGTTGCCTGTATGATGTTCCCATTTTGCAGGTGGTGTTGTTGTTCCTCCTTTATTCATTCATCTGTTTATTTATTGAGGCAGTTGGGGTTAAGTGACTTGCCCAGGGTCACAGCTAATAAGTGTCAAGTGTCAGAGGTGGGATTTGAACTTGGGTCCTCCTGACTCCGGGGCCTGTGCTCTATCCACTGCTCCACATAGCTCTCCCTATCCTTCATTTTTGAAGAGGACCAGTGAATCACTAGAAAGAGAATCATAGAAGGCTTTTTACTTATCTCAGTCAATGGCACAGCACGAAAAGGACCCTGACTTTGCAGCTGTTAGACTAGTTAGATTTGTAGCTTCAAGATCAGCCTGTCATTTTAGTAGTGATAGTTTGTGAGCCCTTGTTGGCCTTAAGTGCCGTGGCTGTTGCTTTCACTGTTGGCAGAGTAAAGAGGACCCCCCTCCTGGGATTATTTTTTCCATATGCTAGCACACTGCTTGGCATAGAGTAGGTGCCTAGTAAATGCTCTCTTGGTTGATCATCTCTCTTGATGATGGATTCTGTGTGTGCCCAGCCAGGTGTGTGAGCAGCCTCTGATGTTCCTGCTGGATACTCCTGGCGTGCTTGCTCCACGGATCCAGGATGTGGAGACTGGGCTGAAGCTGGCCACCTGTGGTGAGCTGTGCTTATGTTGTTCTCTAGCATCTCTCCCCATTTGTGTATGCTACATCGAATGTGGCCATATTGGCTGCGCTTTTCTCCTTTTTTTCCTCTGTTATCTTTGCTGCTCCTACAGGTGTGAGTGGAAGGTGATTTCTCATTGGAAACACCTCCTTCGCCAGCTAGCCAGCTTCTCTGTGTCTTTCTTCTCTGTACAAATTTTTGTGTACTTCTGATAGGTTGATTGGGCAATTCTGTACTCTGGGAGTCATCCTCTCCCTTTTTTTTCACATAGGAACTATATTGGACCATTTGGTAGGAGAAGATATCATTGCTGATTATCTTCTTTTCACACTTAATAAGCAACAGCAGTTCCGGTGAGTAAATAGAATGACATTTATCCAGACTCTCTCACACGTTAAATTTGTCTAAGCTTATCATACTTTCTGAACTTTTCTCGGTTTTATCCGTCAATTGTGGGTTTTGTTATCCTCATCTTTATATAGTCAGAGTCACAAAATTTCAAAATTGGAAGTCATCTTGGTGTTCATCTAGTCTGGTTGATACCCTCTGAAGAATCCTTGCTGCAACATACTTGACAAGTGGTCATTTGACCTCTGCTTAAAGAATTCCATTTGAGGGGAACCTTATTCATTCCTTCCTGGGTCATTCCATTTCACTTTTGTATAACTCTAATTATTAGGAAAGTTCTCCCAGATACAAAGCTATGAGTGGTAGAAAATATATTGGAGGGCAGAGTAAGGACCTAAAAACTTTTTGATAAGACATGAAGTCTGACCAAATCTGAGGTGACATTCCGAAGGAATAAATGTAGAATCTTGAGCTTGGAATAAAAAAATGAACTTTGCAAGTACACTATGGGCAAGGCATGGCCAGATAGTTGTTCATCTGAAAATTATTTGGGTACTTGGTGGCCTACAAGCTCAGTGTGAATCAGAAGCCAAAAAAGCTCCTGTAATCTTTGGCTGCTGCAAAGGAGGCTTTTTATGTAGTAGTAGGAGGGGGCAGTCCTGCTGTGCTTTGCTTTGGTCACAGTACATACGTCTGAAGTACTGATTTCAATTCTGAGACCCACTTTTTGGGGAGGCTATTCATAGATGATGGCCAAGATCTGGGAAAGCATATCCTTGAGAATAGACTGTTGGGAGTGGTGGGATGGGGAGTGGAATAGGAGAATGATACCTGTCTGACCTCAGTCATGAGGCTCAGTCAGGGCTTTCATGTGGAGGAGAAATTGTCCACAGAGGGCGGAACAAACAGTTTGTGTAAGCTGCAGGGGCAGATTTTGGTTTGCTTTAAGGAAAAACTTCCTAAGGAGGTTTGGGGTTATTTCATTGGTCTAAGAACACCTATTTAGCTAACTCTACTAAAGCAGAGAAGTAGATACTCTGTGACACTCAGATGTAGCAGGATGCCTGGGGCAGTGAGAAAGGAGGAGTCCTTCCTGACTGCTCAGGGTGACACAACCAGCAAACGTCTGCATACCTGGGGGCAAGTTTTCTACCCAACATGCTGTTACCTCTCTCTTGACAGCTGGGGACATCAACTTGTGAAAAACGTACTGCTTTGTGAGGCCATGTATTCCCCTTCTTTAAAGTCCTCAAGGGCTGAGTGATTATTTGTTAGGTCTCCTGGATGAGATTCATGTTCATCTGTGTGTTGGACTAGATGACTCCTGGGGACTCCTCCTGCCCTGAGGTTCTATGATTATAGCTATATAAAGTCATTCTGGTGAGCAGTGTTGATTCCTGAACACTGATCTTCATGAAGGAGTTTTATTCCTTTAAAGCATGTTTTTTGAACAGCTGCTGCTTTGTGGAGCTGTTTTTTTTGAGTTCTTAAATACTTCTCTTTGGGTTTGGGGTTCTGGGTATTACAGGTATGTGGAGCATTATGACCTGGGAGAGGCTTGTGATGACATAGGAAGTGTGCTGAAAAGGATCGCTATGAAGCTCAAGAAGATCCACAAAGTGAAAGTGCTCACTGGGACTGGTGAGTCCTCAGAGGATGCAGACTGTGAAGATTGGGTCCCAGAGGGCACATTTAAGTGATTCAGTGATGCCATCTTTATGCCTGTCCAAGAAAGGGCAGGGAACCAACCTCCTACTTTTTTATAGGAGTGGCCTCCGTGGCAGAGATGAGAAAGTGCCATGCAGAGTGGGTCTCACCCTTCCTTAAACACATGAAGGGGTTGATAGACAAAAAGAGGTTTTTGTGAGTGTAGGGACTTTCTAGTCCCAAGTTCTACCAGCAGAACTAAGAAATGCTGTGAATGCCTTTGGTAACTCTTAAGCAAGAAAAAGAAAGAATTGGAAAGGATATAGAAAGAGGGGGTAAGAGTAAAAGACGAAGGAAGAGAGGGAAAGGGAAAAAGAAGATGTGCAAGGGCATGGTGTATAAAAGATGCCAACAAGTTCCTCAAGAGCCAGGGCAGGTTTATCTCATAGTTTGTATGATAAGATATACTCAATCTTGCTTATTTAGAGACCACCCCCCCAAAAAAAATTCTCAACACTGACATCATTAAACATGGCTGTTTTGGGCTTTGGGTCTTGCGCTCTGGTGGAAGTCAGGATATAATTGACTTACAATATATTTTCACCTCATAGGTGATGTTAATGTAATTCAGCCTAACTATTCTGCAGCAGCCTGTGACTTCATTCGAAACTTCCGAAGTGGGGTGCTGGGTCAGGTGATGTTTGACACTGCCATCCTGGAAGAACCTCAGGCCAACAATGATTCTGACTCCTGAGGCTGAGCAGTGAACGTTCTTTGCTGCTTCTACTCCCTGTATGGCCTCAGGCAAGTTACCTCACTTGTTGGGGCTCAGTTTCCTCATTTGTAAAATGAGGGAGTTGGAATAGAGGTCCCTTCTAGCGCTAATGGTGCAACTCTGAAACTCAAGTGCAAAAAATAGCTACTGTCTTTGGAGGCATCTGAGGACTTGGCCTTGATTTTCATCATGGCTTGGCAGAATAATAAAGTATTGTTTGTGATTTCTCCCTAAATCAGTGACAAGTACATTTTCAGGGCTAGGGTCCATGAAATGGGATAGTCATTGAATTGCTTTCAGATACTATGTGGGTTCCTTTAATAACAGTTCCTACTGTGGGCAATAAAGGAATTAAAACCCCCCCAATACTTCTTTGATACATTGTCAGCCAGCTGGGGGAAAGGGTCTTTTCTTTGATTTAATTGAATTTCACTTGTGAAGATTTTGATCATCATCTGAAGCAGCCATACTCCAAGCCAAGGAGTTGTCACTTTGTCAAAAGTAGACCTTTGCTTAGAGCAGTGATCCCTACATTTCTTGTTGTGAACCACCTTAGCACCACCTACAGCTTGGTTCCATGTGGTAACTCCCTGCTTAGTTTGAAATGGTCCTAGCTATTTCATTTATTTATTTATTTTATTGAGTTATTTTTTTGCTGAGGCAGTTGGAGTTAAGAGACTTGCCCAGAGTCATACAGTTAGTGAGTAGTATGTGTCTGAGGCCAGATTTGAACTCAGGTCCTCCTGATTTCAGGGCTGGTGCTCTATCCACTGTGCCACCTAGCTGTCCCTAGTGATTTAAAAAAATTTATTAGGAACTTGCTGTTCATGGTTGTTGCAGTATTCAGAGATTTCATGTTTAAGAAATAATCAGCTTTCTAATATAGTGGTTTATTTTCATGTTACTATTTCAAAACAAATAAACCTTGAACAAATATGGTTGAAAAGTACCTTGTGGTTTAATACAAGAACAGCTGCTCTCCATCCTGTGTTGTACGGAGGAAGTCCAGCTAAAGTGATTCCATTGTTGCAACAGTATATAATTCGAGCCTATGAAAAAGTCATCCAGGCAGTGAGCCATATATGCAAGTCATATGTCAAGTAGAACAGCTTGTAAGACAAAAGACATCAGACCTACCTCTGAGCTCCTTTCAAGATACAATAAGGAACAATAGTAGTCTTTATTTTTAAAAAAGTAATCTATTCTTACTAACAGTAGTAGTTAAGATAGCAAGGAGAAATCGTTCAACAAATGTTTATTAAAAAGAATATGCTTTTCATAGTGTTTTAGTCAACTGAATTCTGCCTTACTAAATTTTTTTTTGAGGATTTTATTGAACTAAATTATTTGAGGTTTTTAGCCTGTGCCATAATTCTAGAAAAGGCAGTATGGAGAAGGTTTATGGAGGGGTTCTTAACCTTTATTTTATCATAGATCCCTTTGGCAGTCTGGTGAAGTCTATGGACCCAATCTCAGAATAATATTTTTAAGTATAAAAAATAAAAAACAAACAAACTATAAGATTACACAGGAAACCAACTATACTGAAATATAGTTATGTCTGGTCTTTTTAACATTCCAGATACCAGTATTTCCTTGCTCTATACCAAGAGTTCTTAATCTGGCGTCCTTTTAAACTTTTAAAAATAGTTTATATTTGGGTTGTTAGTACCTGTTCCTAGTCTGATCACTGTAACCATGACAGGTGGGCACTTTCTGAAGCATTCCAATATCATTATTGAAGATGTCTGTGTAGCAATGTTGACAGCCAATGCATTGTATTCTCATAATCTCTTACTGGATTATAGGATCATAATGTTTGGTGGGACTTTAGGTCATTTGGTCCACCCTCTGATTTTATAGGTTTACCCTTCTGATTTTATGCATAAGAAAACAAATACCTAGAGAGTGAAGTCAGTTGTCCAGAGTTATACATTCACATCAAAAGTAGGTTTGGGAACATTAATTCCACTCCGGAGAGAAAGAGCAGTAATTATTAAACTTTATGGTCATTGCTAAATGCTGAATATATTTCATGTTCAAGTTTGCCAAAATTAAAGAAAACTAAACACATCTTGAGAAATATAGATGTGAGTTCTGATGTAAGAGTCCGTTGTATCCATTTCCAATTTTAAAAGTATTTAATGTTTGGAGTGGTTGTCATGTTTAGTTGATAGAGTCTTTGATCACATAGGTTTGGCTTTTTCCTTATCATTTGGTGGTACTTCTGTGGTTAAAACCAGCTTGAGTGTTGTAGGGTTACCATAGAAACCTGACATGTCTAAGCAGCAGACTTGTTAGTATCAGTTGACTTGCGTTTGGATTTAGATGATTATTTTAACAGTAGCAAAAATAGCTGCTGAAAGGAGAATTCAGAAAGATGTATGTCACCCCTGAAAATGGATACTCCCGACTAAAGCTTTGGAACTATTTTCCCTGCTCATCTGTCTAGTCCTCCAACACCATTAAAAAGATACTTTGATTAATTAACAGTTCTATAAAGAAAACTTAAAACTCCTTGATACTCTGTTTCAGATGAATCTTCAGTGGTAAAAATCTTAAAATGGTTTCCTTTCAGATTCATGATTTAAATACTGAGAAAAATGTAAACCTCAGGATTGCTAGTCTTATATTTTAGTATACCTGTTACTTCATTGAGGTGTGTTCCCTCTCTCACAGTACAAATCTCAATCTATCCATGCCTTTAAATTCTTTTCCATGGCCTCCCATAAATCTTGGAGAACTAGAAAAAGGTCCCTAGTCCCTAGGGTTGGACTCTTATGTACAAGCCCCTCTTCCCTTCCCCTGCCCCACCTCACCCCAACTATATACCTCATTTGCTTGAATCTTAGTATTCTTCACTGGCAGGCCACTCTGTAGTACCCTGGGGTGACTTATGGAACCTTTGGTAAAAGCACAGATCGGTATCTCGCTCTGCCAAATTTGACTGAAGTCATGATAACCGTGTACATAACATCAGTCTTGGCATGTAGAGAAAGACCCATGCTTATAACATGGGTTTCTCACCATAGAGATAGAGTATGGCAGTGTGGAGGCAGAGACAAACAGAGGGTGGTATATAACAGTGCTCAGATCTTTAGAAAAAAGTGCTAGGTTCTTTGTCCTTTTGGAGTCTCCATCTGGGTCAGTTCATCCAGGTTTGTTATGGAAATAATGAGGCTGTTGCCCAGGAGAAGGTTCTTGTCTTTGGCTGCTTCCTTGATTTCTTGTTCCAGGCCCTTTCACTTCCATAGATCAAGTTTAGTATGCTAAAGGGAACCTTTTTTATGTTGTTATAAAGTCCTGGGCAAGTTATATGAATAGCTAGGAGAAGCAGGCATTTATGTCTTTGTATCAGAAGTCCAAAAGGCACAAGACCTCTGCAGTCCTAGTACTCCAAAGCTCAGGTTCTGAGCCGTCAGTCTAGGGCTGCCATGACTGGCTCTTTAGCCAAAAGCACCAAAGATCGTACTGAACCTCTTCTAAGATTTTGTTGGTGGAAGCTTTCCAAGAAAATCCATGCACCTGTGATTGTTTTTCTCCAAGACTGAAGATCTATCTCTGTTGTGTTATGAAACACTGAATATCTTAAGAATCAGAACTCCTTACTGTTTCGGAGGACAGAACATGGTTAAGTACAAAGACCCTAGAACATAGTTGGGAAATAGCTGAATTGTAGATAGATGAAAATTGGAACTCTTCCATCTCCTGAGTTTTATTTTGTTGGCACCTGAAAATGAGAGAGTTTGGCCAGAAGGGATTAAAGCATTCTTTTTTAGTAAATATCTCAAAGATTTTCTGAAGTTAGACTGTTGTGTTCTTGGAATGAACGTCTTGTTTTTCCTTTGAAGGTGAGCATTCTTGGGGTCTCTGCACTGCACCTCACTGAATTCCTTTTGCTGGTAGAAAGAAAAAAGTGGCAAATTGTAATAGATATTGTTGAGGGGGGTAGGAAAACAGAACGGATCATAGAGTGCTCAGCATTAAAACTGACTTCAGTTTTGATTTTTTTTCTTTTTCATTGGATGCTGAAATTCGCTTTCCCATAACCTTTTTTTCAGGGCTGTTCCTTGAAAGGCATCAGAACAGGGGGAAAAAAACCCCACAACAGTTTAGTTAACAGTCCACTAGAGGAGTTTGGATCATAGACCTGAGGGTCTGACTTCTGTGGGGTGTCTGCATTCTTCTTAGTCTGGTTCAGACACAAGATTTCTATTTTCATTAGTCTTCATGATGAGTCACTTCAGGAGGAAGATTCTTGGGAGTTTGAAAAACCTTTCTATGAATCAGAAACTGGCTTTTACTCCTAGGGAAGGAGTTTTAGTGAAGAATAGTGGAAATTAGTAGGTAAAATCCCTACGGTTTGATAGGTGAGGACTCCCTTGCTGTTACAATAACTAATCTTAGTAAACAAAAAAAACCTTTGAATGAAAAAGATATGTAAGTTGAAATGTAATACTTCTCTCTCTTCTAAAGATAGCCTAAAGGGAGTTTGCTTCTTACTTCACACTCGTGGTATTAAATCATGATCTCTCCCCAAAACCCTGCAAACAATGTTGGGTACAAATCCAGGAGGCAGAGAAATAGGCTTAAATCAGTTGCTCCTCAACAGACCAGTTTCCAGAGTGGTTAAGTATTGCCACAGCCAGAAGGTAGATCAGCCCATAGGGCTGTGCCTGAGGAGCTAAAGCCAAAGAGAGAAAACATATGCAAGGAACTGAGGCCTCTGGGTGATGTCCTTGGCAGGGGCCATAAGACTCCTTTCCTTTAGTTAGAAATAAATTCCTTTTCTTGGCTTAATGAAATGCTTCAGAGGCACCTTTGTTTTTCTGCAGCAAATGAATTTCTTTTAGAGCCCTACCAAATTGTCCCCTCTTCAGTTGGATTTTGTTGAAATTTAGTTTATGCCCCATGATTTCATGTGCAAGGGCAGTGTGAGGAGGCAGGCCAGGTTTTCCCTCATCTTGAAGCTCTGGGATGACACTATTGCTTATCTGAGTGATGGAGAGCACCCTCTCAGTTTTCCTTCCTGTTGCTAAGTGTGTCCCCAATCCTCTGGCCTCAATTTAGGTATCAGAAGCATCCATAACTACTCTCTTTTTCATGCCTTGGGCTTTGGCTTGGGCTCAGCACCTCTTTTAGGTTCCTCTCTGAAGAGGGTATGAGAGTTGGAGTTGGCAATTGGAATCTGGAGGCTAGAAAGCTTTAGGGTTCGACATTTTCTCTTATTCTCAGCACCCCCAGACATTGGGAGAAGTGAGAACCATTTTGAAATTACATGAGTCAGTTCCCATAATATGGACCTTTGGGTGGAGTTCTTATGGGGAAAGAAATGGGGAAAAGGGTTCTATCTGGGGACTAATGCCATTGGTGATGGGGAAAAGGGTTCTATCTGGGGACTAATGCCATTGGGTGTGAGGCTATGTCAATGGGCAGCTAATGATGCCCTAGAAAAGTGAACCATAGGGAAAATACCCAGTCTGCCCACCCTGACTACAGGAGTTTTCTGGAGTGGTCCTCTTCATGATCCCAGGTAACCTGGTGCTTTTTCACCTCTGGGCCTGGATTCAGCTCACCTCACTATCCTCACTCTTGAAGCCCCTTTAGGATCTATTGGTAGTTAAGGAAGAGCTCAAAGGAAAGGAGTGTGCACAGTTCCTTAGAAGGTAAAAGATGAAACCATTAGGACAA